TCTGTGTTTCTCTCCCATGCGCATAAAATAAAAACTTAAAATAAACACTGAAATAAAAACTGAAACGTGGAAAAATGCAAGCTTGCAGATTGCTAAAGCAGGTAAGCCCCACACTATTATGTGTGGAGAAAAAGCTGCTGAACAGCTCGACCTGCTGCCCCCCCGAAAGACACTGTCATTCACAGAGTTATTGAAATGAAGGATTATATCAAAAGTACGCTGACAGAACGCGTTAAGATGAGCAGATGTTTTTCACTGCAATTAGATGAGTCTGTAGTCGATTTGGCCAATTTGCTCCTTTACGTTAGATACGAGTTTGAGGGTATGTCCCGTGAGGACTTTCTGTTCTGTAAGCCGGTACCAACAGGAACTACAGGAGAGCACATATTTCATCTTCTGAATGAATTTATCGAAGAGAATGGCCTCGACTGGATAAAATGTGTCGGAGTTTGTACAGACGGTGACAGAGCAATGACAAGCCGACACAGCGGTGTAGTTGCACGAATTCGAGAGGTTGCTCCAGAAATTAATGGTTTCATTGCAACATCCACCGCGAGACCTTTGCCTTGAAAATGCCTGACTATTTAAAATCTGTTAAGACTGTTGTGAATTGTATCAAGGCTCGAAAAATTAATTCACATCTGCTTTGCTCGACTAAAAAGGCTCACGCCTCTCACTGAAATGGTGCTTTTTTATTTTTATTTGTTGTTGTTTTTTTTTCTGTAAAACACTTTGAGAAGCCACATTTCTTAATATCAGACAATGTTTATTATTATAATATTTATTATATGTGTGTGTGTGTGTGCACATGCGCTCATGAGAATGTCTGGGGTTCCTATGAGATGATGACTTGTAAGTGGTACTTGGATGGTGCTTTGGTTGGATTAGGGGTGGTACTTGGTCTTTGGAGAACCACTGCCCTAGATGGATCATTACCTGATGCCTCTTGCTCCCATTCCAACAACACAAATACTGCCCAGAACTGAACCTCAAAAATCATGACACCTTCAAGTGACTAGCTAGAAGGAAAAGCTTGGAAAGCAAGGAAAGGGTGGGTTCTCTTGTTAAAGCCAGATGTTTTAAGAAACGGACAAATGTAATGATCATGTCTCCAAGCACAGCAACCCTTGATAAAATACAGCACAGGACACCATACATATAAGGCAATACTATTTTCCTGAAGAACTTGTTTAATGTAATATTTGCATGTATCGTACTCATTGGAAAACGTTGAGGATTACTTGTTTGCAGGCAGTGTTAGGGGCTCCACCTTGTTCGGTGATGACAGGTCTTCCTCACCTGGTCAACAATGAAGGGAGTGGCAGTCGTTTTGTGCGTATAGTCACAAATAAATGGATGGATGTGTAACAAATGAGAGAAGGCTTCAAATTCTTTAGGGGTTCCTCTCTCAATTCACACGGTGGAGGTAAAATATTTGTAATCGCTAGAAAACATGAAATACGCAAAACAACGGCGCACCTTTTTATTCTTGTCGTAAATTAGCGAAGGTAGAAACGCATATAGTCCCAGCCTGATATGTGATTGCGGTTTAGCTGTTTTTTTTTTCAGTGAGAACACAATTAATTCATTACATATAACGAATTTTAATATGCACATAAAACAATATCACCGCCACAGCGCTCAGAAACACAGGATCCACCACGCGCGAGCCCCGTCGAATCCCGGCAGGTTTGGAAGAGCGCATGCGCGTAGAGGAGAGCGCAGATGGCGGGGGGTCAGAACTTGTGCCACCCGGTATCAGCATATTAGACGGCTAACGCCTCGAGAGAGAGGTGCTACAAAATCGTTAAGTTTGAAAACGGGTTAAACGTTGAAAAAGGTAGCAATGAAGTGCCGGAAATATACCGCTTACACCTGACTGCGAGCGGGGCCGCAGGACAGCGAGGCAGCAGTGCCTAACCACTGCGGCACCGTGCCGCGGTAATCGACCGTTTCCGCGAGTTCCCAGCCGCGAAGAAATAAGGAGCTGATGCGTTTTTAGCCGCTTTGTAGCAACAGTGGGCTTCCCGGTGGTTCCTCACGACGCCGAGCTCTGTAACATTTAACAGCCAGTCAGCAGAAGGTGTTGTTGAAGATAATCGCATTGTGAATAGCATCAAACTTGTTCACACTCTGTGATACAGTACTTCCTGATGAGAGTTTAGAGCTACTGTCAAATTTAGCATAATTATACTGTTCATTGTGTATACTTAAAATAATTTATCATGCAGTTGGAAGATAATCTGATCCTTTGCTTTTTGTCACAAAGCAACTTTATCTGTATAAGCTATGGCGGTATTTTCCCCGTAAGAATTAGAGGAATTAAGAGTCTGAATCTCCCTGAAGATGAAGTTAAAGGTACATTTGAGATTATGATCAAATCGTGTTCTCCTATGACGCCTCTTTTGATTTTGGCGGTGTTTCTGAACGACGAGGAGCGCTGGTGTTCGGGAAGAGCGAACAGCCCGGCGGGAGACCGCGCTCACTGCGGCGCCCTGCGCTCCGGGAAGTGGGGCTGTGGCGAGACAGCTCCCGTGATCCGTTCAAGCCCACGGCTGAGCTGGCGGGTTTTATCTGGTCGCCGCTTTCTCTTTAGAGGGAAGCGGTGAGCCAGAGCCTAACCCAGGAGGCAGGGGGCCTGAGGTGAACGGGACGCCAGTCTGTGGTCGGACATGCATACCTGCACACAGGGAGCAACTTGCACCGCATATGTTCTCACCTGGGACATAGATAGATAGACAATACTTTATTAATCCCGTAGTGAAATTGATGGATATGCTGACAGGGCGGGATGGTGGGGCAGTGGTGAGCACTGCTGCCTCACAGTGCTGGGGTCCTGGGTTTACCTGGACCTAGGGTGCTGTCTGTGTCGAGTTTATATGGTCTGCCCAATCATGTGAGCTTCCTTCTCTTTTAATTTCAAAATGTGTGCATTTTTTTTCCTTTTCATGCGTCTGCACATTTTAACCTCTGTGGCACTCTGTGCTAGAGGTCACATGACACTGCTGAGCTACACACTAAATGTCATGTGACCTCCGGGGCACCACATGCTAGGGATTGCAACCTCTACAGTGCCTCCTACAGTCGCATGAACTCCATTTTGTCCCAGAAACGTCTAATGCCGGCTCTAAAAATAGATGTCTAAAAGTAATGTCGCAGTGTTTGTGCTTAGTATTTCACTTTAAGCTCAGAACAATTAAGTGTGCGGTTTGTGAGTGGAAACTGAAGTGGTTTTAAAAAGATATAACAAGATAGTTTGACAGTATCTTCAAAGCTGTGTGATTAGGGGATTATGAATAATTAATTTGACTACTTGGGCAGTCTTGCATAGTATTAATCAAATGCCTGGAACCTGATTTCCTGCCTTCTACCAATTTGCTAATGGAGAGCCAGCACCATTTATATAATAAGAGCCACAGCTTCGCACGGGTGGGTCGCTGTTGGCGTGTGGATCAGGCATGTTGTTGAGCCTGCCTTCGGCGAGAGACGTGCTGCTCTGGTGCTTGTGGTGTGGGTAGAGATGAATAGCACTGACAAGGGGGAGGGCTGGATGATGCATTCCTGCTCTTCCTCGTTCTTCCTGTGCTGGTACAGTAGTAGCCTCTGGAAGTCTCAGGCGTATCATTGCAAATGGAACAGGAATATAAAATAACTGGAGACATTTCTTAATGACAACAACGAGACTGCAAGCAAATGTGACATTTTATTATCACAAGCAGAGTGCAGGGACAACAGACACAGCACAAAGCCTACGGTACTACAGACAGCATGTTTGCCATTGGAAACTAAAGGAAACCTGTAGGGAGCTAGTATTCCAAGTTCCTTCTGCATCTCCTGAGTACACTAAGACAGAAGTTGACACACTGAATATGTACCCTGCTAGCCTACTACTATTTTGAATGTATGAAGTTATGTACAGGCTTGGTCTCTAATGGCATGCTTTTAGTTCTATGTGACATTTATATACTGTCTGTCATTCCTATCAGGTGTCTGAAGCCACATTAAGACATTTTGTTTACCAGCTCCCAGGATATTGCATGGCTACAACTAAACATTTCATTCATATACTTTACATTTTTGTGCAATATTTATTCTTATTATTCCACAGGTTAGCCAAGGCAACAGAACACCACAGTGGGAATCCAGTCTGTAATTCGGCGCCACTGCCTTGTCTTGAAGCTGGTGTTTTAACATGTTCTCTCTCCTCATGTTGTCTGAAAGGTAAAGATGCCTCTCTCAATAGCTTAACAGCACCTTTGGCTTTACAAATTCTTTTTGTAAACAGTGATGTATAGTTACATCTTTTTCCATGGAAAGTTTAAAAGCAATATAAAATCTCCCATTATTATGGCTGATTACTCTTAAGTCGCTCAGCTGTGACTGAATCTGTAATTTTTCAGAAAATGTCGCAAAGTGGGTTCCATGGCCTTTCTGTGCTTCCTTTCCAGGACATGGGCCAGTTGCCACAGTGCTCTTTGGAATGAGAGGCTCATCAGAAGGGATTCCTTTCTCACCCCTCCACCATGACTGCAGTAGTGGGGGGAAGAAATTGCGCTTCTTGCTTGTCCAGGAATTTTTCCATAGATGCAAAATCCTCAGTGCAGTTCCTGAGATTGGGGTTCATGGTTCAATATTTAGGGTCACGGTATGTTTCAGTCTAAGAGGGTTAAGCCACTTCCAACCTGATAACTGGTCATTCGTTTGAGGTGGAGGCAAGTGGGGAGGAGGGAAGGTTGCAGACTTGCAAACATTAGAAATGCAGTGCCAGACTACATTAAAACCACTACTGTACAGCACTATGTACAGTTTTGCATTTATGTTGTGCCTCTGTCATTGACGAGAAAGGTCCAGTTACCAATAACCAGAACCTAGGAGCAAGAGAGAAAAAAAAATCAGTATTGCAGTTCCAACTGCGAAGAGCATACAGGATATTTAATATTTGCTTGTGAAAGTAGAGATTTACTTCTTTGCTCTAAAGCTGTAGTTTGACTGGACTATGTTTGTAAAGCAGCAATCACCAACCCTGGTCCTGGAGAGCCCCAATCCAGCAGGTGTTGTATGTCATTAATAAAATTGCAAGTTTCTAAAAGTATGGAACAACAGTGCTGCAGTAAACAGGTGATATGTTAAGTTAAAGACAGAAATCAGAAATCATTTCGGACTGAAATCCAAGTATGTTTTAGCTATCATGAATTACAGTTCTCTTAACCGAAGAGATTACTTGCTATTCATCAATAGCTTACAGGTATTGCCTTCATCTTTAAAACATACAACCTGTAAAACAAACCGGATTAGGGCTCTCCAGGACCAGGGTTGGAGACCCCTGTTCTGGACCAATCCTGCAGCACCAGGTTATATGTTTGCACTGTCTGTGTGGAACAGCTAAAACTACTACAAACTGGTGACTGAGAAGAGCTTGTATCCTTCTAGTGAATACTACAGGAGACCTCACAAGCAAATAAAAAAAAATAGCTAAGATGTTTTCTTTTTGAAAATAAAAAAACAACAGGGTTCAACTGTAAAGTACAAGGAATGTCGACAGCAGTCTGTTTGTCTCCTTTTTAAAGCAGACCCAAAACACTTGGTGCCAAGTCACAAGGGTTAATAAAAAGCAACCAGGAACTTACTGGATAAAAGGCTGCTAAATTACAATTGTCCTCAAACAGAAACCCTAAATAAATACACTGTGTATTCATATAAAATATCCATAACTGCAGGTGAAATTAAAAACTTATAAATTCCTAAAGGAGGGTAACGAGAAATGATTTGGTTTTTTTTTTAACGAGCAAATATTCCTGCCCCTTCCTCTAGTTTGTGTGTAATTAAGCGCCAGCTTTTCCATGCTGAAGGAGAGCAGCTCAGTAAATATGTGTGTGGTTTTGAAAATCAGATGGATGCAATTACTCTATAATCCACAAATTGCAAGGAATTGCTTGCTTCTCTTGTGCAGTCTAGGTCTGCTAATAGGGAGAACCTACTACTCTCTCCCATCAGCTTATTAATAAAATAGCAGAAGAAAGCACTGTGGTATTTCCCTGACAACCCCACGGACCTAAGCACTCAGTTATTCAACCTGTAGCCAGACACCATTCAGGCTACAGTAGTTTTTCACCTTTTGCTTTTACAGAGGTAAAAGTCTTTGCCTTCTCTATACTCATACATGGTTCCTGTTCAAAGAGGTTACAGAGACCACAAAAACATTGTTGCTTCTATGGAGGGCTCAGATTTTTACTCAGAAATAAGGAAAAGACTCTGCCGGGACACAAGTTCCCAACAGAAGTTTAGCTTGATGTCTTTTCAAGACATACCTCTCCATTAACCTCCTCTCTTATGGATCCCTGGACTTTATGGACACATTATCTCCATGCCTCAAATAAACCCTAACATTGGTTTCAAATATAACTGCACTTTAATTATGAAATACTAAAAAAAGAACCAATAGATCCACTGGAATGGGAATCACTGTATGAAACAGATTTTCTACACTAATTGAGAGGTGAAAACCATCCTTTTCTTTTTGGGAATCCCTTAGCCAGGGGATGCTAAAACACTGTCTTGAAAACTGGTGGTACAGGGTATAAGAACCACGATTAAGGCCTAACTGACAACAGATATACTATACAAGCTGTAGCTGAGGGACAATTCTACCAACTTTTCTTGTTACACAAAGATTTCAACATTTTTATTTTACACATTTGATCTACCTGCATATGCTTCAGCTGTGTTCTATATTCTGTGAACTGGCTATGTCATTCCATAACAGTCTGTCATTTCCACAGGCTTTCGTGTCATGTCAGGCTTAACATGATCTGCTGTTCTCCTGTGATTCTATGCAGGAACGTGCATGGGGGAAAATGTTGGCAACACCAGTGTTTTCACTGGGGACTGTGGGAGACTACACCTAGGAAAATTAACTGGAAAAAATATTCCACAATGCAGCTGCTTGGAGCGCAGCACCGATCAACAAATGCAAACCCACTTAAAACTGACAGTTTCAAAACTGCTCAGCTTTTATGAACAAATGCACCAAGCTAGATGAAATATCACTGGTGGAACTCGCGCACTTTGGCTGACTTGACTGGTGTAAACAGATAGGTCCCTACATTAAAAATACTTCGGTGCATAAATCCCCATAGGAGCTCAGATCTCCACTGCACTCTTTATTGTTTTGAATTTAGGACCCATATTGTTTAAGGACATTTCAGGTTCTTTTAAATTAAAAGGGCATTTTCTGACAGAAAGCTCAGAACTTAAGACTTTCATATTTAGACTATACGTCTACTTGGAGAACACAGATTTACAGAAGACGTATTTAGACTGTAAGTGTACCTATTATTTAATGTGCTTCGAATACCAGTAAGAACTTATTGCTGTGCATAATTATTTTCATTACATGATTTTGGAATACACCCATCAATCATCAGAATGCCACCTATTTCTGGTAAGGGACTGCAATCTGAACAGGATGCTGGTCCATTACAGGGCTAACACACACACAGAAGAGACATCAGTTAACCCTCTTTAGAAGGAATGAGGAAACTGGATCGCCTGCTGGCACACCAGAATGGACATGGAGAGAACAGGAAATGTGACACAGCTTTTTAAATGAAGGCAATATTCAACTGCTAATTAAATTTAGGGTTCTCATATTGAACTTTTGTCCAAAAGCACTCTACCAATTTCACCATATGGATCCTGTGGAATCACTTCAAGTATTTGCAAAAGAAACCTACAAGCAGTTGCCTTAAGAATTATTTTCATTAAAAGAATAATTCCAACAACAAAATGGATCGTGGGCCTATGCCTATGGTACTGTAGAACCTGCAGAAGTCTAATCTGACCATGAAGATGGTCAATGAGCAGAGATCAGGCAAATACAGTATGTTTCAATGGGTAAGTTAAGCGAATGACCAAGGCTCAGTTTCCCTTTCTGGCCTGGCAGACACACACAGAAATTCCCAGCTCAGCTCCCCTGGGGTCTAAAACCCAGCAGGTTCTCCAAGTTATTAACAGCCCAGTGTCAGGGAGAATGGTTAAGTGGGTCAGTTATCCCTTTGCCATCAGGCTTTTCATGATTTACACAGAGTCTGCTGAGGTCCAAATCCCCAGGACCAGAGTAGGGAATCTGACCTACAATATTCCACTACAAAATACAGTTCAAATGTTCAGCTAAAAACTGACAAATTCTGCAATGCAGACCACAAACCACTTAAGAAGCCTCTTTTGTTTTTTATAAGGACACAATGTGCTTTTTTCTGGAAGCTTGTTCTTTTCAGGCCTGTCTCCTGTTCTTTCCCAGAGCTGTCACATCTGGCTGATAGCACAGCAGTCAGGAGCTCCAGCACAGGGGACACATGGAAACGCCTTGCTCTTTGAGTTTCTACCCTCACATTTCTAAGAAAGCTTCCAAACCACCCTTTAAAATAAGGCTGTACAGAGAACTGAAAAAAAGTCTATCTGGAGATTAAACAGCATAACAAAACAAAGCTTTGAAAACTACTGTCCAACAATTTAACAATGTCTGCTGACAGAAAAGTCACCACAGCTAGCAAGAGAGGTGTGAGTCTCATCAGAAATCAGTTCACTTGTTCATTTTGAGAGGGAGGGGTTATTTACATTTACTGTGGCACAGGAGGAAAAAGTGCAGTAAAGGATGATGCCATCAGGATTAAAACTAGTTTAGAGCAGTCCGATTGTGGCAGAAATAGTCAAGTGTACTACAGCCCAGGACAATCATGATAAAAGCATGAGAGAATGGCATGATGTAAACTGTGGAAAACCATGAAAAAGCAAGTGAATCAGTGAAAGCTTCTATTGCCATGATACAACCACAGGAAGATTAATATTGCAGATTTTATACAGTGAAACTTTGGGAAGAGGGGACACGGGTCCACTTCTTCAAGTTCTATGCTCTACGCCGCTGCTGCATGAACTGGGTCATTGTTCTAAAAATGTGAAGCATTGCTTAAATATCTGAAAATTCAAGAATAAGTAACTTTTTCACTGCTGATAAATGGTTCTCTTCAGGTTAGCAAACACCATGGAGCTTTTAGAAAGATGAGTCTTGGTTAAGTTGTGCCTACAACTGCAATCTGCACTGCAATGATATCATACTGTAATAGTAATGTCCCCATGAAATGACACACAGAAAGATAATATATGAACTTCTGCGACCGTTTTGTTTTATTCAGTCAGAACTTCTATTAAGAATAAACCTGCAAGTGCTTAATGTTGCTGATGACAACTACCAATTTCTACATTTCTATTTAAAACAACTGTGACATTTCGCCATAGCCTGCCGTTCACCTCCCGATAGCGTGATCCCGTCTTCAAGCGCATTCCTGTCACGCAGGTTTTTCACAATGTCAGTCGGGTCACAAGTGTTTAGTTCTTACTTTTCAAAACCATACCTTTCCAATCAATAATGCTGTTCTTTGATCTCTTCCTTCCATGCTGACTGTACCAGAAATCCACCCAAAGATGCTAAAACTAAGAAAGCACTGAAAAAAACACCTCTGGCAAAGTTACAATTTTCCCAATCCTGAGTCAAACAAAGGATACTTTTACCTTCATAACAGATGGTATTCACGTTGTAACAAAATGATGTTCATGCATTTAAAATGTATATACAGTACAGTATTTCACAATGTACTGCAATTGAACTCAATGCAGACCTATTCAATACAGAATAGGCAAAGCTGAAACCAAGGCTATTTTAGATGAAATAGGTTAGTAGTGTTAGAAACACCTTCTGCAATTCTATATGCACAACCTCCACTTTAATAATTTCACTTCAGAAACAGTTGACATCAGATCAGGAGAATTTACTAACCTGATGATGTGGATATGAACACAGGGACAGGGTTGT